GTGGAGGTTGCGGTTATATGTCTTGAGGTGCATCCTCCTACTCTGTATTCTATACGTTCTTACTCTGAGTGAGCGTCTAGATCCTACTCGTTCGCAAGGGATAGGCGTGTGGGTCGTCTGCTAGAGATAGGCGTCAGGGTGGTTGGCGGGTGTCTCTTACAGGTCTTAGTTCTTTTCTTTCTCACTTCTGTTTCTATCTGTCTGGGTGTATAGGTTTTTCTCAGAATCAAGTGGCAGTTGTGTTGTATTGAAACTTGGGATAGACATGTGGGTGGTTGGTAGGTGTCTCTTACAGGTCTTATTTCTTTCCTTTCTCTCTTGAGTTTCTGTCTGTCTGTCTGGGTGTATAGTTTTTTTTCTCAGAGTTAAGTGGCAGTTGTGTTGTAGTCAGACTTGGGATAGACATGTGGGTGGTTGGTAGGTGTCTCTTACATGTCTTATTTCTTTTCTTTCTCTCTTCTGTTTCTGTCTGACTGGGTGTATAGCTTTTTGTCTGAATTAATTAAATGGCCGTTGTTGTATTAAAAACTTGGGATATACATATGGGTGGTTGGCGGGTGTCTCTTCCAGGTCGTATTTCTTTTCTTTCTCTCTTCTGTTTCTGTCTGTCTGTCTGGGTGTCTAGCTTTTCTCCAGCACTAAATGACCGTTATGTTATATTCAAACTTGGGATAGAGACGTGGGTGGTTGGTGGGTGCGTCTAACAAGTCTTACTAGTCTACTTTTCGGGTGTTGTTTCTTTTTCTGTTCACAGCCCTAAATGGCCGTTATTGTGTCTATGTAGGCGTTTGCGGATGTTTCCCTGGTCTTTCAAGTCTTACTTCTTTCCTGTCGTCTTTTAGCTGTTTGCTTCACCTACCTTTTCCTAAGCTTAAAACCAGCGTTCATTGTGTTATGGGGTCGCTTGGTCTCTGGCAGAGAAGACGTGAATTTGATTTCTTAGTGGAGAAGATGTTTTTTTCGGGTACTTTCGTCTTTCGGTCGTGATTTACCCCCACACATCTCGGGTTGGTCCTAGCAGACATGGTTATCTGTTTCCCTCCTGAGGAATCTGAATAGTGTCAATCGATGAGCGAGTAGATCTAAAATATTTGCAACAACAAAAAATCCGAGGTCAAAATGAAAAATATAATCAGGATTATCCAAGACGGCCCTCCATTGTTGAGGAGAAAAGTTGATGTCTTAGCACGATGGACGTCTTTTTGTTGTTATTATTATTGTTGTTTTCATGTTACAAATGAAGAAGTGAAGGACAAAATCAGGCATGCCATGGGGCCCTATTATGAAGATCTCACCACTGTGAGAAGACGCTGATTGAGATGTTGTGGGCACATAGCAAGATCAACAGGACGTGCAAAGATGATCCTACAGAGCACTGTACACGGAGGGGGAAGGAAAGTCAGACAGAAAAAGAGATGGGAAGACAAGAAAAATGAATGCACAGGTTTAAATTTGGGTGAAGAAGCCCTTTGAAAGGCTGAAAATAGAGAAGGATGGGAAAACGTGATTGCCTCATTATCTTTGGTGCCCCATATGACCATATTGTGTTGCAAGTGCCTTCAAACACTTACTCAAACTAAAAGCGCTTCAAATCTTGAGACAATTCTGCACAATGGACAGATTGGGTTATTGTTGTTGTTGTTGTTTTGTTCTTTTTAAAGAGCTTTGTTGTTAGTAGAGGCTTGGGTATGACACATTTACAATCGTATGATTCTAATCCTATCCTCTATGTGTGGGTGGTTGGCGGGTGCTCTCCTCCTTCTTTTTTATGTTTGTTGCTCTCTTGTAACACCTCTAATCTTCGGCACTTATATGACCTTATTGTGTTGCAAGTGCCGTAAAACCTCTACTAAAACTTAAAAAACTAAAACATTTATCGTCCTGATCTCTCCTCCTTTTTTATATTTGTTACTCTCATGTAACACCTCTAATCTTCGGCACTTATATGACCATATTTTGTTGCAAGTGCCGTAAAACTCTTACTAAAACTAAACTACCCTCTCTGTGTGTGTCGTGGCGCAG